TCTCCTGAGCTTTAAATCCATGCGCTCAACTGATTCCACCTTTTTACTGGAAAACTCACAGGTAACTCAGACTTGTAAACACAAAACTAACCCTCTTCTCTTTCACCCAAACTTGCATCTTCTCTTATTTTTACAATACGGTACTCAGTTTACTCAAAGCACAAGTTGTTCGATCCAGGATTCCAGGTGTTATTCATAATCCCTCCATTCCATTGCCAACTGCTTCCAAATGATTATAAATAACTATTAACTTTGTCTTCCTAATGCCTTTGAAATTCATCCTTTTTCATATATTCAGGTTCTACCTTAATTCAGATATTCATCATTTCTCAACAACTTCCTCATTGTTTTTCTTGCTTCAATTCTCTTCTTTCTCTCCTGCTTCCAGAGTCATCTTTATAAACAATACATTTCATTTTCTTGCTTGTCTTCAATGGCCTCCTAGGACCTATATGTCCCCCTTAATTGGGTTCTTGCCTGATTTTCCATTTTTTTCAGGTTTATTGAAGTATTATTGACATGGAAAAACTGTATATTCAATGTGTACAACGTGGTGGTTTTATTACTTTTTAAATAATTAATTTTTAAAATTTGCCAGAGGATGCATGTACTGGCAAGGGAGAGGGGGGAGGGGGGAGGGGGAGAGAGAGAGAGAGAGAGAAAGAGAGAAAGAGAGAGAGCGAGCACCCCTCAATAGGGCATGGTCATGCCACAAAACCCCTTCTCCATTTGTCTATCCTGTTGGGATTTGGACATGCACACATGTGTGCCGAGTATGTTTTCTAGTTGTCATGGCTGGGCCTGTCAGTTATGTGGAATGTGTCTCCCTTCATAATTAGACTATCGAATCAATCCAGCATGGCATTCTGATATACATCCTCATTGGCTAGATAAAAAGAAGAGAAATTCTTCTTTTTGATCATCACAATCTCAGTTATATGTGGAATCTAAAAACCTACAACTTATTCCAATGGAGAGTAGAAAGCTGCTTTTCCAATTTTATCACCGACTTCCTATTTCTTTTTGAGCTCTAGTCATAAGGAACTATCAGGTAATTAATTTCCTAGATGGATCATATTCTTTCACATGGACATGAAGTTCTGCTTGCTTTCCCATCTTTGCAATGCCATTTCTTTTTGGCCTGTTTGCTGAAGTTTTAAGAAACTTCAGGCAAGTCCATGGCCTGGTGGTTATGTGAGGTAGATTCCATATGGCCAATTGCATGATTGGAATCCAGGTCTGACAGTTTGGAAAACAAACTCCGAACATGTGCCTGAGAGCCAAAGTCCTAATAAGAGTAAAAGTGGATGGGAAAGCAAAAAAGCATGAACATTCCCCATGGGGATGATTTCTTGCCCCCCCCCCTCTGTCTCTCTGTGTGTGTTCTTTTTACAGTGAGTACATGTGCCCTCTAGAAAATTTAAAAAACTATGTTGTTTTGTTATTGTAGACTGTATAAGGGAGTGTTCAACTAGGGGAACATGCCTAGAATGAGGGCGATAACAATGCATTTCTGAAGAAATGCCATTTAAGCCAAGATGTAAGGATGTGTAGAACTTCTCTAGGCACAAAATGGACTAATTGCCCTCCAGGTAAAGGGAACATTGTATTTGAGAACCCCAAGTTAATGGTGAAAATCAAGATGGTCAGTATCAGCAGGGGACGTGGACAAGTGACACAAATCACAGAATGACTCAGGGTTGAGTATGTAGGTAGGAATGACACTGTCAGTTCATACAAGGGTCAAACCGACAATTAGGAAACTATCCTGGAGGGAACTGAGTCCAGAAATATCCCTGAGATTCTATCTTCTTTAGATTGTTGCTCTATATAATAAATCAACAGAGTAGATTATCAGGCTAGAACACAGTGGGTCAATTAGGGCTCATGAAGCAAATCCAGCCTGGTGCCTGCTTTTGTAAATATTGGGAAACAGCCACATTCATTTGTTTACTTGTTTGTCTTTGACTGTTTTCATGCTGTAATGACAGAGTGAATAGTCAGTGTAGAAACCATCTAGCCTGTTAAGCCTAAAATATTTACTCTCTAACTCTTTACAGTAAAGGCTTGCTGACCTTTGGTTGCTCTGTGCCCAACTTTAGCTATGATAGACATTATGGAGTGCCACTAAGTATTGGACACTGTACTAAATTCATTACATGCATCAACTCATGCATTAAACGTTCTAACGATCTTGTGAAACAGGTAATATTATCATTTCCGTTTTCTGGATGAGAAACTAGATGCAGAGAAGGTAAAACATATACCCAAGATCACAAAGGTAGTGAGTGGTACCCTTAACCACTGCACTATACAGCCCCTGTACAGAAGCATCCTCTTTGTTCTTGACCAAAATTGGTATAATAGGTGGGAACTCCTCAGAGGGATGGAAGTCACATGATTGTTGCATTTAACACAAACTGGATTCATGTTCTTGCAGTTCTCTGAGAAGATTAACCTGAAAATCCCTAGAAAGACATAAGTAGAATTTGCTGGCCATTTGCATTTTTATTCAGAACTGATAGCCATCACCTAAGCTATCATTTATCAATTATTCAATACATGGATTTCACAAAGAGAACTCTTCCATTGTCCTATCTCAGGAAGGTATAAGCTGCAGTCTGGTGTACGAGCATTCCATCCAACTGGATGTATCTTCAGATGATAGAGGAGGATTTCCTCATGAAGGTTAGTTTTTGATTAGAGATAAATAGGGACATCGCATATGGAAAATAGATCAGTTGACTTGGCCACAATTCTATTCAGAATAATTTTTCTTCAATATGGAACACTTATTTGGAAATTTTTCGAAATACTTACCACAAAAATTTATAGAGCTAAAAGGAGAGAAAGACAAAACCATATTACTATACAAATTTTGTAGAAGTAGGTTGAAGCAAGACAATAAAATAATAAAAGCACCTATTTTAAGTGTATAGTTCAATGAATTTTGACAAGTGTATACACCCATGTAACCCTCACCAAAATAAAAATATTGAATAACTCCATTATTCTAAAAAGTCCCTTCATAGCCAATTCCTTGACAGTGTTACTTTATATTTCAGTCCCTTGCATCAGCTTGTCCCTACATAGCCAGCAATCTGTTTTTGTTTTAGTTTTAGTTATTTTTCTTTTTTCCTTTTAGGTACATAGACTTGAAAAAGAGATATAGAGAGCCAGAAAGCAAGAAATCACCCCCCAGGGGAGATGGCCATGCTGTTATCCCTTCTCCTCCACTCTCCTTGGGATTTAGGATATGCATGCATACACACCGTGTGTGAGTTTCAAGCCACCAGGTCCAGGACTTGAACTGCAGTCAGCCACATGGGAGTCTAGCACCTCAACCACCCACATGCTGGCCCTGCAATCCATTTTTCATTACTGAAGATTAGATTTCTTTCTCTAGGAAGTGGGACTCATGGAATTATATGATATGTACTTTTCTGTGTCTGTCTTCTTTTGACCACCTAATGCTTATGAGATTAATCATTATGGTTGGTAGAAATAGTCCATTCTGTGTTACTGCTTAATGGTAACTCCTAGGTAGATTTTAGTTTGTTTATACATTCACCTGTTGATGGATATTTAGGTTGATTCAAATTTTGAGCTATCAAAAATGAAGCTGTTGTTATTATTTTTTAAAATGAGGATTTCCTAACATTGAGTGATTAAGTGGAGGTAGTATAGGCTATGTTTCAAGAGTTTTACCCTTTTCTCTTATGAGAATATGAACATATCTAAAGAAGATCTGATTTGGTCTGAGAGTTAATGGTAGCAGTTATGATTATAATACTATCATACATTCATGTAGACTTTTAGACTTGATGAAAAAAAGATTTGAAAAGTGATACAGTCCTATGTGATGTGGATTATCCCTTCCTCAGAAAGAAAATAAAGGAGAGTTGTAATATGTTATATCTCACAAATGCTTCAAGGTCATTATTTCTCCCTGTCATGCTGCAACAGGAAAATGAGGGACATGATGGATAGCTGTCAGAGCCATGATTGTCTCTTGCTCTCTTGGAAGCAGAACAAGAAGGCCAGGCTGACATTGATGGACATGTGCTGTGATGTGAGTTGGCACAGCGTAACAGTGATCATTGCCATGACCAAGATGTGTTCTTGTACAATCTTTCCTGGCACAGGAACATTAACTTCTACTGGAGGAATCTTTACTTCTTCTTGATGCCTGTCTTGTTACATGACTGTTCCGGCCACCTCCAGTGGTCTGCTGGCCCCTCTGTTGACAGAGACAAGGAGGAGACAGCCATCTGTGTTGAATGGCTTAGAGATTCACCTGCCTGGATAGGAGAGGTCTGGAGCAAACCAGGATTCCTGCCTGGAATGACTGATGAAGTCTATAATTCCGAGGGTCATTTCCTTTGCATATATTTTGGATAGCTATTAAACTTCTGGGCTCTCAGCCACATTTATATAATTGTAGAAAATAGATCACTTGCTAGGTACCCTCAAAATGGCACCAGTGTCGACTTTTCCAATTACATATCTCTGGGTTTTGGGGCTCATGGCTCACACCATCACAAAGGATCAAGTCTAGCTACTCCTACATGACTAATGTGATTTTATTGCTATGACCAGGAGGAGTACTTGTAGGGCTAATGATCTTCTTGTCATCTGAGGAAATCGGTGCAGTTAAAATGTAATTTATCTCATATGAAATATTATATTTATATTGGAAAATGGGCCATTGCATACATGTTTCAGAGATTCTTCTATTTGACTATAGAATAGCATCATGAGCGTATCGTCTATTTTCTGTTTATGGTATTTACCATGCCAGGTTACTGCTTATTGCCATATATATTTAATTTTGACAGTGAAAAGATCTACTAAAAATAGAAGCATAGCATCATTTTAATTACAGCCGTTTCAGATGCTTATCAACACAACAATGAGAAATGGAAGTGCTGTGGCACATTGCTGAGTTGTCATTTCCTTTAACAGCTTTCTCTGTGTAGCAGGGACTACCAGCTAATTATGAAGACTGACTCTTGAAGATGTGATGTATGCACCTATTTTTAATTGTCTAGAAGTGGTAAAGGAGGATGCCAGGTAAAAAACACAGCAATCTTAATCTTAGTTTAATGTACTGTATTTTACCCCATCTATTCTGTGGAACTGTTGGATATTTAGAGTTTGCTGTTTTTCCTTTTTCTCAGTATTTTATTTCATTTTATTCTTTTGGTAATGGTGAAGGAGAGATTGGGAATAGCAAAGAAAGCAAGAAATAAAATTTTTCTTTCTTTTCTTTCTTTTTTTTTTTTTTTAAAGGTTTTTGCCACAGGGCGCATGCACTCACCAGTAAGAGACAAAGGGAAAGTGAGAAATTATCCTCCCCCCCACCCCGACTCTGGGGGATGACCACACTGCAATCCTTTCTCCTCCATTCTCCTCCTGGGATTTGGGGCATGCACACACACACTTCTGGCATGATTTTTCAAGCCACTGGGTCTAGGTCTTGAACCATGTTTGGCCACGTGGGACTCCAGCACCTTAACCAACATGCCACCTAAATGGCCTCACAATTAATTTTTTCTGAGAATCACTGCCTGGACCATTTACAAGGTGAAGTCTGCACGAAAGATCTTTCTCCTCCAAACCCTCACACCTCATTTAATACTGCTCAGAAAGTGGATTATTGATCTGTATGTAGTGGTTGGCAGGGAGTGAAGGCAATATATTCTAGGAGTTTCTCAGTCTGCAGTTGCTTTAAACAAGGAAAGACCTATGGTCCCCTGCAGTGTTTTACCTGCCTCAGTTAATCTATTTATGATATCATTGCAATAGGCCACAAGGTAAATTTGTTTTGTATTATCTTGGTTATGAACATGATTATAAGTAAGTATTAGAAGTCTGTCTTCTCTCTGGGACCAGCAGTTAGTGTAATGTCTACGTCGCTGGACTCCCATGTAGTAGACCGTGGTTTGAGTCCCGGACCCCACAGCTTAAACTCGCACTGGGCATGTGTGCATGCGTGCCCAAGATCCCAAGAGGAGAATGGAAGAGAAGGGATTGTGGTGTGGCCATCCCCCTTGGGGGGTGATTTCTTGCTTTCTGTCTCTCTGTCTTGCTCTGTCTTTCTGGTGAGCACACACGCCCTATAGCAAAACCTCTCAAAAAAAAAAAAAAAAAAGAAAAAAAAAGAAAAAAACAAGTAAGTCTGTCTGTCTTCTCTCCAAAATTGTGTTTTATAACCAAGAGGTCATATTTGGGTGCACTTACCTTTACAAATACACATTTTTAAAATCTCATGTGCAATCATGTTATGGAATCATTTTTAATGTATAGAATGTGAAATTTCCAGGATAGAGAAAAATATATATTCCTACCTGCTTTAGAATATGATTTGAGCTTAGAGAAGCTTATCTTGAGAAGTCTAGGTATAGGACCAATTTTGATTAAACTTGCTGGTAGGTGAGCCACTATGTAAATGTCATCCAACTGGTTGAATTTTGTGACTGAATCAACTTGCCAAAGTATCGGAACAGTAGATCAGGAGTAGATTCAGACTGTGTGGGATCTGAGGCTTTTACACATTGAGATGCTTTTTTTTTTTTTTTTTGAGAAAAAGATATATGGTTGCAAATGCTAAGTTTGGTAGTATGAAAACATATTTTGGGGACCAGCAGTTGGCATAAGGGCCACGTTGCTGGACTCTCACGTAGTTCACTGTGGTTCTAGTCCCAGAACCCAGCGGCTTAAACTCATGCTGGGTGCATGTGCATGCATGCCCAGGATTCCAAGAGGAGAATGGAGGAGAAGGGATTGTGGCATGGCCGTCTCCTCTGGGGGGTGATTTCTTGTTTTCTGTCTCTTTGTTTCTCTCTGTCTTTCTGACGAGTGCAAGTGCCCTATAGCAAAAACCTCTCAAAAAAAAAAAGGAAAATGTATTTTGTTTAGAATAAGAAATTACAAGTTATACATTTGAAAGAGTTTACAGTTACCAACTAACAAAATCCTGAAAAATAACACTTTGATTAATTAACTTCTCGATGCACTTCTATAATTGCTCACTTTTTAATTGCATTCTTTCTAAATGCCAAAAAATTTTAGGAATCTTTTAAACAGAGAAAATAGATAATAGTTTTTCCTCTAGCATGTTCAAGTTTTTTTGTCAAATTATCAAAAATTTTTTTAACCTTTGCTTTGCATATAAAATTTACGATTTTCAGCATTTTAAGTCTTCTTGGGTCATATTTATTCTAAAGTATTATTTATTCTGACAATATTCTTTAAATAGGGTATGGCTGACATCCTTCCACAAATTGTGTTTTTCTCTACTACCATATTTGTCTGCTTTTTGCTTTTTTTTGGTTGTTGTTGATCGGGCATATGCACCCACTAGAGAGGGATAGAGTGAGAGTGAGAGAGGTAAAGTGATGACTCATTTCCCAGAGGTTGGTCTTGCTGCAATCCCTTTTCCTTTAGTCTTCTCTTGGGATTTTGGACATGCCCACCCAACATGATTTTCAAGTCCCTGGGTCTGGGACATGAGCCAGGCAGTCAGCCATGTGGGTTATAGTACCTTAACCTCCATGCCATTTGCTGGTCTGTCTTGTCTTTTGCTTTGTTATTTCTGTCTGGGATATTCTTGGTGTGATATGTTGTTCATATTCATGATCCTAAGTCAACATACTTTAGTTTTCATTGTGCTATAATAAGACTTTTGGTGACATTGAAACTTGGTTGATTTTCTCTTTCAGTTTACATTTTGGCTTCTTTCTATCACATCTAAATTTTAGTAGTATAATAGTTTGGAAAAACATACAATGAGTTAAATTAAAGCATAAACAAGAGTAGTTCAAGACATTTTTAAATGTTTCTGTATCTACATACTTTTTTGTTTATTTACTTCTCCCATGAGTGAGATGAAGAGGGTGAGAGACAGAGAGATAACATGCCCAACAGGATCTTGATGTCGCAATTCACTATGGCCCCTGCCAGCCCAGGATCATGGATACAAGTGTGCCTGGGGTCCTCAGAGAGGTCCCTGGATGTGAACCTTGAATGTTCCCATGTGGGTCAACCTTTCAGAGCAGTGTCACTGGTTGGCTCCCAAATGCTGCTATATTTTATTCAGCTAAAACTTGTAATCCAATTGATCTTATACCACATCCACTTGACTCATTAATGAATATTCATACTTATTTATTCAGAAGTGACATAAACATATCTATTCAACCCAAACGCAATGCCTCCCTAACTCAACTTCTTCGCTAAAACCCAAAATGATTCACACTGACACCACTGATACCATTTTCTCGCCATCAGGAGAAAATGTAACACATAGAAAATCTGAGTGAAAAGAGACAGTAACCGAAACCATTACAGTTTAACTCTCTCTTATTTTCAAATGTTACAAAAGTGTATGATGCTATGGCATGCAGCTAGGTCTTCCCCTGAGACCTGTAAGGTGTAAGCCCCACTAGCTCACTGTAACTTTGGGACAGATCTCTGTCTCTGTTTTCATTTGTCCCTGTTTCAGTCTGTCTTTCTATTTCCTTCTTCTTTTTATGTTTACTCTGCAATGTCTGGGGAGTGATTTCATTCTTTCATTGTAAGCAATGACATAGACTTAATTTGGGAAGGGAAGGCCATAGACCGATGGAGTAATGGTTTATATATGGCCCAGTCTTGATACTTCCCATGTTTTTAAGGAGCAGTGACTTATATTTGCTAAGTGACTTTTAATTGTGCTCACCATACTTCCCATGTTTTTAAGGAGCAGTGACTTACATTTGCTAAGTGACTTTTAATTGTGCTCATCAGCCCTTCCTACCATTTTTTTCTTTTTTTTTTTAAGGAAATAACACCCAATGCTTTCATCATAGGGAAGCTGTGAAGCACAGTCAGGCTAAATAGATTTTCAAATTTATACATTTGGGAAATGCTCCATTAGCTTTATTTAATATAGGACTTCTCAGAGCCTTTGAGATGTTAATGTGAACATCAAAGGTGCTTCAAGAAGGCAAGCATTATTTGATCAAGAGATTTTTATTTTATATATTTATTTATTTATTTTTTCACAGGCTCTCTTGTGGAACTGACCTGTGGGGAGATTCTGTGTTCACATTTCCATTGACCATGGCCAGGTGAGCCATTGGAACTGATAGCTCTGTCTGAACCAACTGAGATGACTCATAAAATAAATGCTTGTGGTTCAATGACAAGGTAGTTTTCAATAAACCTGTACCCAACGCAACCATAATTATTCAAGAGTCCATGATTACTAACATTTACATAGCTTTTAAAGTAGTTGTAATTCAGAGCAAGGTTTAAATGAAGTCAAGCAAATCAAGATGCAAAATGATCATCTTTTTGACTGACCTCAAATGAGGATTACAAACCCTTGCAGAAATCTTAGGCATTTGTTACTGTTGAGACCCAAATTCCTCATAGTGCTTGAAGCCATGTAGAAAGATGAATTTCAAAAGGAAGAAGGAGCTGCGTTCCAGGTAGAGTTGAAGCAGACAGCTGTGGGAAGGAAGGCAGGAGAGGGACAGAATGATGAATGAGAGATGACATTCCCTACGGACAGTGTCAAGGTTCAGGATAGCGGCTGGTTAGATAGCTGTGTTGCTGACCAGCCATCACAGAGGCCTTAACCCAAGGCACTATTCTGCTATGCTAGTTTGTCTTGAAATTGAAGCTACCCAACTACTACCACTGCCATTACTCAAGTTCAGACTTGGTTTTTATCAAAACTGCCTCTTACCTTCTTAATTGGCACCCATGCCTTAAGGTGTCTATTTTTATTCTAGTATATTCCCCTCATTGTTGCCAGAAATAACTTCCAAAATGTAAGTATAAAAAATACTATGGAAAACCACATAAGATCTTTGGAGAAAAGCCAGAATAATTGCAAAGTGGGAAGAGAAAAGGAGAGAGAAGAATTGGTCCAGGCTCTGAGTATCAGGTGTGGGCACGGTGTGGGCCATGTGGCAGGTACAGGGAGAAGGAAACTGTTCCCACCCCTCCACCCCAAACTCCATTGTAGGCCTTGCTCTGTATAGCATGTATATGTTTTCCAGTCCTATTTCTTGTTGTATTCCTCATTTAGATTTCTCTAGAAATTAAGATTTCGGGTCAACTGCTATTGAGGCATTGAGCAGTCCCCTTCCAATGTTGATCTGAGCCTCATCAATTACAGACAGCCATGCAATTTATTTGTCTATGGGCCATAAAACCAGTAACTCATTTTCTCTTTCTAAGGTCATTTCCCCCCCTTCCCCCCTCCACATGAAGTTTCTTTACTTGTTTGGAGTAACTGATGCTTGGTATAAGGCCTCTGAACTTCTTTCTGAAAAATTAAAGCCTACTTAAATGGAATGGGAAAGTTGATGAAGAAAGAAAAAGGCACTAAAAACACTTAGACTATTTAGACTATGTGCCCTGGTAAAAAATTGTAATGGAGGTTGACTTCTAGATAGAATGAAGAAGGAGAAGAAGAAGAAGGAAGAAGGAAGAAGGAAGAAGGAAAAAGAAGAAGAAAAGGAAGAAGTAAAATCACAGATCCAAAGAATAATATTAGGAAAACAACTTTAGGGTTACAGAATTATGGGTTTAACCATCACTCTACCACTTTCTGGCTCTGTTGATGTAAGTGGTCTTCAAAAATTCATTAAAAATGTATATTATGAAAAATCTATGCATGGATGTTGAAATTTTTTGCACAAAGATGAACTCATACTTTATTTCCATTTTCCTTAAACTTTTTGAAGTCCCCTCACATATAAAATATTACATAGAGTTGTTAGATGATAAAATTTACATATTTTATATAGTGTTTGATCAATGTTAGCTAATACTATTTTTTGTTACTAACAATAGTCTGATCAATAGAAGTTAGAATTGAAGTTAGAAAAGTTAAAGATTAGGTAAAAATAAGTACTTATTTTTCATCTTTTCCAACATGATCGACACAATGACAAATTATTATTTTCTGAGTGACTTCTGAGTTTTTTTTTTAAAGCATTCTTATCATCTAAATAATTGGACTATGAGTCTTAAAGATAACTGAAAAAGGGTAAATCCTTGTTGATATTAGATTGTTGGTCCAAGCTCTTTCCATGTACTGTGTCAAGACCTTACTGAGAAGGTAGATGTCAGGGCTGAGATTAGGATTTAACTAATTAAGTAATGCCACTGCACTTGCAAATTCATAAGAATTAGCCCTAGAAGTCTCCTAATTCAAAGTGGGAGAATTTGTATGAATGAGACTTTTTTTTAATAATGCAGCCAATTCACCCCTTTTCAGTCTCTTTTTTTTTTTTTTTTTGTAGAGGTTTTCGCTATGGGGCGTGTGCGCTCGCCAGGCAGACAGAGAGAAACATAGAGACAGAAAGCAAGAAATCCCCAGGGGGGATGGTCATGCTGCAATCCCTTCTCCATTCTCCTCTCGGGATGTTGGGCATGCACGCACACGCACCCGACTTAAGCCACCGAGTCCAGGACGTGAACCGTGGTTGACTATGTGGGAGTCCAGTGACATAGCCATTACGCTAACTGCTGGTTCCCAGTTTCAGTCTCCTCTTAACACAAGTCCAGGGACTTTGTCAAGATCCTTCTGCCGCTAAGCTTAGCCCTGCATGGAAGTTGTTCATACTCAGATATATTTTCTGACTGTCCTTTGAACAATGAATGTCACTGACTTCAACGATGGTCCAGGATCCAAAACATTCTCTAGGTCTATGCTTTTCTTGTTTTCTTCATACCATATTTAGCACATGAGTTCTACAGCATAGATCAGAGGTATGGCAAATTGTAGAGATCCTACATCTCAAGTAACAGAAAGGAGAATTAGGTGGGAGAGAAATGAAGTCAGATCATACTATAGTATTGTCAATTACTATGTTTATAAAATATGTGATCGCCATTGACTTTCAAGAGGTATCATTTTACGAAACGCTATAAACAATGCTTTGCAATGAACTATGACACCATGTCGCTTACATTTAAAATTTTTCATTTTATATTTTCAAGAGACCATTTTAGACTTAGAGTTTTCTTCTCCACCTGCCACCTTTGTGCATGTATAATAAAGAAAATACAAGCAAAATAAATTAGTTGTTACTGTAGTCATTCCTCCTTTTCTGCTGTTAGTTGATTTATACCCTATTTTTTCAGTACCTATGCTTTTCTGCATGTACAATCACACATTATTTAATGCTGAGTAATAGTGCGAATGTTAAAAGACAGCAATAAACTTCATCATTTTACAGGACTAACAATGCAAATGACTAAAGTGACAACCCTATGAAGATCTATGACCAAGTTTGCACACATGCTGGTGATTATAACACCCTCACGACTACTACTTGGATGACAGTATTTGAAGATGCCATCAATTATGAAATGCATCTCGATTTCAGAGATACCTGATATGTGGGGGAGGGTGGACATCCAGTTTTTGATAAAATATCATAACTTAAGAAATATAAGGTGATAAACATGTAATATTTTTTTAATTCCGTGAAACAAAGGCAAAGAAATGTAGGTCAGAGCATATTTGACTCTAGTGTCCTGATGAGTATGTCCCTAATTCCAAATGAACTCTGGTGCCTAGGAGGCACTCAGTTATAAACCTCTTCAGAGAATTACTAGATAACTAAGGTTGAATTTTCTCCCTTGAAGAAGAAAGCAGGGGCTGGAACCAGCAGTTGGTGTAATGGTTATGTTGCTGGACTCCCACGTAGTTGACTGTGGTTCAAGTCCTGGACTGGTGGCTTAAACTCACGCCGGGCGCATGTGCGTGCCTAAGATCCCAAGAAGGGAATGGAGGAGAATGGAGAAAGAATTGCGGCGTGGCCATCCCCCCCTGGGGGGTGATTTCTCGCTTTCTATCTCTCTGTCTCTGTCTGACTTTCTGGCGAGTGTGTGTGCTCTATAGCAAAAACCTCACCAAAAAAAAAAAAGAAAAAAAAGAAGAAAGCAGGGGGCTTATCATTGCAGCTATTAATTTATAATTAAAAAAATGTAAGTTTGTGTTACTCCAAGACAGATTAGATTTGCAAAATTGTTTGAAAATGCGTTAAGGAAATAGAAAGGTCACATTGGAGAGCAGGTGACGAGAGTGTAGCTTTTGGCTTATGGACGAGAAGAAAGATCACCAATAACCTCAGAATCCTAGTATGATTGTATACTTTCACTTTTCAAATTCTGTCCTAATGTTCATCTATATACATTCTCGGTGTTTATAGTTGTAATCATAAAGATGGATGTAACATTTTTATACGTTTCCATGGAATAGTATATCAAGACAATGTAATTATAATTTTATGACATGTAATATTCCATTGGTTATACATAATAATTTATTTAAATATTCCTCATTATTACACATTCAGATTCCCTCTGCTGCTTTGCTATTTTAGATAGAGTTGCAAACCACATTATCATGCACTTGCTTTTTCCCTCTGTTGAGTTATTTCCTTAGGAAATATTCCCAGGAGTGGAATTTTTGGGCTGAAGGGAATGATAAAATTTTATGGCCACTGGTATAAATTGCCACAAGAATAGTTTCTAATAAAATTTCAGTGGCAATTTCTCCTTGAAGGTTCTGAAGGACAGGGGACTATTTAGCCACTTAAACACTTACCTGCTCCATTCTCTAGGAAGTCTATGTCATTGGAGGCATGGCTTAAGAACAGAGGGTGGGAAGAATAAAGGACACTGCTCCTGGCCTTCTTCCAGCCTTGAGCCACATGCCAGTTCTTGGCTCTGCTTTCTTAGCTCGCTCACCTTTGTGCAATGGGCTCTCAGTTTAGGGAAATCAGGCATTATGAGATAAGACATGGAGCCAGGTTCCTTTTGAATCCTTCAGAATTGGATAGGAAAAATAGGATTGGAATAAGAAGGGTGAGTTGATTACAATGAAATTTACATGATTGTTCTACGGAATTTCTCCAATTCAGATGATCAAAATGATGGTACTTATTTTGTTAGTTTTGAGACAGCTTATATTGTCTCAGCCTTTGCAAAACAACAGCTAGGCCACCAAATGTAAACTGCAGCTAAAAGTCAAAGGCATGAGGATACTATGTAAAGAGTCTCTGTAGGACAGAAACATTTGCCTCCCTGGAATGTATGCCATTTAGGAATTTTTTCACAACTATTTAGGGCATGCCTGGGTTTCTATGAGATCCTTGTCATTACACTGAGAGTCAATAATTGAAATGCCAGAGATACATTTGTCTCCCATGATACTGAAGGAAAAAAATTAATTGGGCATTCTAATTCACACTGTTCTTATACGGACTGTGTTCTTCCCAAAGAAGGTTGACACTGTAGACCTGTCTGTTGACCTACCCTGAGTGGAAACCCATGCTTCCATATCTTTCTTTTTCAATAAATAATTCAGTTGTATCCATGTAATATCTCCTAGTTCCAAAGGATCTTAAATATCCTTTTGAGAGAAGACAAGCTGGAGACAGGGATGTCAACTGTGGGTATGGGAAATCAAAATAAAACTTTATCCCTAGAGAATGTCATCATAGTTATTAGAATACAGAAAGTGCTACTTGCTAACTTGTGTGAGGATTGTCATAATACTAAATACATCTTGAAGAAAGTCCCAAGACACAATGTGGTCTTAAGATACCAGGAAGGTCACATCTGAAAAGGTTTGAGTTCAGGTTTCATTCACTTCATTTTAATACTACGTAATGCAGAAATAGGTACATTATCAAATCTGGTTCATTCTAATCTTTGAAATGAACACTTCATGCTGTGTACTCATAATCTTGGGCATTTATTTATGTTATTACTAGTCAGGATTCATTCAGGTACAAGTGACAGACAGAAACACCACACAGACAAAAGAGTTATTGGTTCACATTATCAGAAGTCTAAATAGTTTGGAGAATAATTGGATCCAGGAGCTTGACTAATGTTTTCAAAATTTTATGTTAATATCCATCTCATGGTTTTGTATGTTTCATGTATGACTTCTTTTTCATACAGCCTCTAGCCACATATTAGGGAGATAGTCAGTGGTAGCCCCAAATGTCTACTCATTGTCTGTGACCCTCCAAAAAAGGGAGAACCTGTCTTTATCAGTCCCCAATCTCAAGATAGTTTTTAATTGGCCATGGTGGTCTCATGCTCATCCCTGAAATAATTACTTTAGTTAGGAAAGTAATGGCTCTGATTGGTGAACCTGAGTTATGCTTTGTGCCTTTGACTATTAGGGCTGGTATCTCCCCAAAGTACAGAAGAATTCTTCATTGGAAAAGTGCTTGCACATCAATGTTTACTGCGGCACTATTCACAATTGCTAAGACATGGAACCAACCCAAATGCCCCGGACAGATGAATGGATTGAAAAACTATGGCACATATACTCTATGGAATACTATTCAGCTATAAAAACAAACAAACAAACAAACAAACAAACAAAAAACAACAAAAAAACAAGACTCTGGCTTTTGACAGAAAGTGGAAGAATATGGAAATTTACTGCTTTGTGAAGCAAGCCAGGCTATGAAGGAGAGACATTGTATGTCCCTACTTAATATATACCGAGTGTCTGCACTCTTTGACTAAAACCGATTGACTAAAGGATATACAAACACAGTAAATGGGTGTAAATACCAGATATAGTGTATGTGGAAGAGTAGGGCCTGAAGAAGGATGTGTAGAAGAAAAATACAGAGACAAAGCATTAATGGGACAAAGAAATGTATTATCTGTTGAAGATATTTTATAGTTTTATCAACTGAACTAGGGAGAAATGTTCACATATTGAAATATTCACTTTGGAAGCTAAATAATGTGATTGAATGTATAAAAGAAAATGAAATAAAATTTTAAAAAAGGAAAAAAAAGATTCCACAGAGAAATGTGTGGTTTAAGATGGGAGATACATCAAGGAAAAGCATGGTACTTCTAACCAGAGAGTAGGAAAGAGTTTTGGGTAATCCCAATAAGCAGTCATTGCAGGAGTGGTACTAAATACCAAAAAACAAAACCAGCAAAAACATGGTTTCATCTGAGGAAACCTTTCTCAGTATTTTTCTTTTCTGTCGAGTATGCTTTCCATGACCTCTTACATAACGTGACACTGGAAGCCATGTGTTTAGAAGACTATATTAACCACGTGTTTTCTCATGCATGAATAGATACCAGCTTTAGGTCAAAGGGCATAGAACTTGCAATCTCTTTCTAGGTTTGGAGTGATTTTCTGTTTTTTTTTTTTTTTTTTTTTTCTAGTAGCTTTAGTTAGTGGGTTTTGATATAATGGGATTCATATTCACACAAAATTTCATTCTATAACTTTGTGGTTTGTTTTCAGATGTCCCAACACCCGAAATAAAAATGACTTTGTTTGATCGACCAACTTCTGCTCCACACGCCTGGATAATTAACAGAGAGATCTACAAAGAGCTGCAACTTCAAGGAGTTTTCAGAGAGATTCAGATGCCATATGAACCATTTACGTACGTGGTCTTGAATATGGACTCATCAGCCCAAGTGACTCCTCTAAATTTTCCTTAAGGAGTCATCATCTTGCAGCTTATCAAGAAGCAAGTTTCCTTTCAGTAGGATGCGACTTCGAAGCTACTGTGTTTCTTTATTTCTAGCAACAGGCTAATAAAATATAGAAAGAGAGAAATTCTCTGAAGTTACCAACTTCTAAATACTCGGCCTACAGAGAGTCCCTCCAGACTTACTCCAGTTTTCCTGTGGTCATGTTGAGGATTTAAGCTAAAGCACGATTATTCTATAACCTGGAGAAAGAAGAAAATGATATGTCTTGGGAATAAATGTCTGATCTGTGCATATATGGGGAACATAGATTGCCTGAAATTGGTTCATGCTTTTCCTCCCTCCTTCTCTTCCACCCTGCTTTTCTATTTCTCCCTCTCTTTCACTGAAGTAATGAGCAGTTCACAAGATGAACTGACTTAGACAGGTCCAAAATGAGAACTAATCAATGTCTGAAACAATAGCTGTACATTTCGTTGCCTAAATAAATAAAACTTCATGTCAAAGAGTAGTTTTTTTCCCTAGTTCATGGAGCAGTGATATTTGTATAAGAATCTTTTTAAAAATAAGCTATATATTTTTTTGTATATACATTCAATCACATTGTTTAGCTTACAGTGTGACTATTTCAATATGTGAACATTTCTCCCCAGTCCGGTTGATCAAAATATCTTCAACCGATAACACCACACCTCCCCATCCTGTCAATGCTCTACCTCCGTACGGAGGTAAAAATAAGCTATAATTTGGGAACCAGCAGTTAGCGTAATGGCTATGTCGCTGGACTCCCATGTAGTCGACCGCGGTTCATGTCCCGGACCCGGTGGCTTAAAACTCACGCCGGGCGCATGTGTGTGCGTTCCCAAGATCCCAAGAGGAGAATGGAGGAGAAGGGATTGCAGCATGAACATCCCCCCTGGGGGGTGATTTCTCGCTGTCTGTCTCTCTGTCTCTCTCTGTCTGTCTGGCGAGCACATGTGCCCTATAGCAAAAACCTCTCCAAAAAAAGGAAAAAAAATAAGCTATAATTTTAAAACATAGATTTTTGAGAAAAATCTTGGATAGATGGCTGACTATAGAGAAAGATATTTGCCAGTGTTTTCCATTAAGAATAAAGTTCCAGGAAAGGAATGGACTAAGGAAGATTGCTTTATATTTATTTATTTATTTATTTATTTATTTATTTATTTATTTATTTTTTAAGGTTTGTGCCACCGGACATGTGTGCTTGCCAGAGAGAGGCACAGTGAGAAGGAAAATGAGAAATCACTCCCCAGAGGGGATGGCCATGCCATAATCCCTTCCCTTTCTAGGATTTTGTGCATGCATGCACACATGCCTGGTGTAATTTTCAGGCTACCAGGTCTAGGACTTGAACTCTGGCCAACCATGTGGGAGTCTAGTACCTTAACCACCATGCCACCTGGTGGCCCCGGGAAGATTACTATTTAATTTGGAGGATGTTTCTCTTTCCCAAAACATAACGAATCAACAAATCCCACAATCTGTCTGAACTGAAATGAAGAGAAAGGAGACAAAGTGGATGCTTACGCACTGTCTCTCACATCGCTCTATGACAGCTGTTCTTCTCCAGAGAGCAACTGGCTTTTGCTGACGGTAAGTTTCAATGAGTGAAACAATGAGTGATCAATGAGTCTTTAAGGGCAGAGGGCTCCTTGGTGAAGCTCTTCATGTCTGCCACCTATTATTTATTCCTCAGAGGGGTTGTGCACATGAGATTTTGCTTGTTCTTTTGATTATTACTCACAACTTGGTTGGTCTTATTCTGGGTGATTCCTTAGACAGACAGACAGACAGACAGACACATACACACACACATTTACCTTAAACCTATTTCTTAGATTTTTAAAAGAATGTATCTTTTATCTTTTTACTCTTTTATCACCTTATCTTTATACCATTTTTGAGCTAATGAATAATGGTTATCATGAATAATGAAGATGAAAGTAGTTTTGATTATATATACATGTTAACAAAAAGTAAATCATAAGTTCTGCAATGATATGACACATGACAAAGTAGCACCACCTCCTAAGACCTTAAATTCTAGATATTCTCATAGAATATGTCATTTAATTGGGACCAGCAGTTAGAGTAATGGCTATGTCGCTGGACTCCCACGTAGTCGACCGCGGTTCAAGTCCTGGACCCAGTGGCTTAAACTCACGCCGGGCATGTGTGCGTGCGTGCCCAAGATCCCGAGAGGAGAATGGAGGAGAAGGGATTGTGGTGTGGCCATCCTTCTGGGGGGTGATTTCTCGCTTTCTGTCTCTCTGTCTCTTTCCGTCTGTCTGGCGAGTGCACGAACCCTATAGCACAAAGAAAAACCTCTCCAAAAAAAAAAAAAATAAAAAGAATATGCCATTTAATGTTATTTGCCTGTCATATTAAAACGACTTTTTATCAAGCAACATTACAGATAGAGGAAAATAAAACCTGTTATCCATTTCATTTTTCATCATTTCTTTATAAAATCTTGCTTTATTTTATATATTTGGCTCATTCAAATTTGAAAGTGGGTTAAGAACATTGTCAGAAGAAAATTTGCAAGAGCATTAACTGACTGCAGATTTATAAAAGCAAGCTCTTTAATTTAAAAACATGTAAGGTAAGTTGCTTAAAGTGTTAATTTAATACAGTATTTCCAGTCTATACTACCATGGTTAATGACTACACATGACATATATTTTTTACTAAACAAACACGAGATGCTAATTTTATTTCTCATTATTTGAAGATGTACAATACTAAAAATTAAAGCCTTTCTTGCAGCAACCCTTGAAGTAAAATGCTGTGAGTGAAGCCTGAACTACTCAGACATTAAGACACATAAGCAACTGTACATTCTTCTTTTTAGTTTCTCATTTTTGAGGTAAATAGCAAGACAAGAAAAAACTGAAAGCGGGTTAAAAGATCAGCTTCTTTCCTAATGCATTCCTCATTCACCCTGCTCATTTAGTTATTAACAATGGAGCCTATGGGTTCTGGTGCTGGAGTTGAACAACACAGGGGGCAACAAAGGCGAAGGAATGTAGGTCAGAGCATATATGACTTTAGTCTCCTGATGAATATGTCCTGATTCCAAATGAACTCTGGTGCTTAGGAGGAATCTAGCTAGGGGGCTCTTCAGAGAATGCCTGGATGACTGCGGTTGACTATTCTCTCCTGAAGAAGAAAGCAGAGTCTTCCCATTGCTGCATCCTGAAGCCCCAGCTCTCAGGGGCTTTTGGTTTATTTAGGAAAGCAGGTTTGGGTAAGTAATGGAGAGTGTCATAAAGGGTATTCTTTTTTTTAAGAGGTTTTAACTATAGGGTGCGTGTGCTTGCAAGAAAGAGAGAGACAGAGAGACAGAAAGCGAGAAAACACCCCCCATGGGAGATGGCCATGCCACAATCTCTTCTCCTCCATTCTCCTCTCGGGATCTTGGGCACACATTCACATGTGCTCGGTGTGAGCTTAAGTCACTGGGTCTGGGACTCGAACCACGGTTGACTACATGGGAGTTCAGTGACATAGCCATTATAGTAACTGCTGGTCCTCATAAAGGGTATTCTCATGGAACCAAATAACAGGGAAAACATAACCCCGCTGGATTTGAGAAAAAGATGGAGGACAGTGGAGAAACTGCTAGCTGGATACAGGGAGAGGCAGGCAGAACATTCCCTGCAAAGGCTATGAGGGCATATGGGGGGCAGGAGAATTCGAGGCAGGATGGTTTAATATGACTAGTGTATGGAGACTGAGACATGAGCAGAAAGCCAGGGCAAGAGGTAAAGTCAGTAAGAGGGCTGACGTGTCCTTAGGACATGGTAACATTCTTCAACTTTGACTTCAAACCCAAAAGGAAGCAATTGAAGGATTCTTCAATGTTAGGGAACTTTGAATAAGAGATAAGAGCAACTATTTCTTCTCAATCCCTTTATAGAGTGGCAATCCATTCGAATGGTGAGTAGTCACAGTGAAAGAAAACTTTAATAAGCAGTAAGGTTAATTGTGAGATAGGACTCCTTATCCATGAAATTGACTAAAAACATGAATGAAACAAAATTGTCACCTTCCCGAAGGTGTGAGCTTCTACAGAATGTGTACTGAGATGACGTGTGGTTTGAGGAACCTGAAGCCAAGTACAGGAGTTCAGACACTGGCAGTAGGAAATAGGGGCAGAGACATGACAGGCTTGCAGAAGGTGAATGAGGCAGAAAAGCATGTTATGCTTGAGGAGAGAGTAGGACACCAGGCTGGCCAATGTGCATTAGCCAAAGGTGTGAGTTTCTGGGGCTGGACAATCTTGAGTCTTAGATCTGAACTGTAACAGAAATGTTCAATCTTTTACCCCATTCTTTGGTCTTTAACATTCCTGGTTGAAAGCGTTCCCTGAGAGCAGCCATATTTGTTATGTTTGTTTTTATCAATAACCCCATTCTTGTATGCCCAAGCCTCTGAGCATATCGCTGTCCTTTGGCATTAATATGCTTGTCTAGACAGAAACATAAAGAAGCTCATTGTTACTGTCGGTTTAGGAACAGAAAATTAAGGGTTTATGGGGATGGCTGTGACATCAACTATACCAGAGGTCTGCAGACATTTGAGTTTCCAGTAGAATGTACAACTGCTTCAAAAAGGACCTGTGAACAGAGAACTACACCTTTATTTTAAACCTTGTCTAGCATTATACTCTGAGAAAATTTTAAAGCAATTTCTTTTTTAAAGTTTATTTATTTCTCCTACAAGAGAGAGGAGAGAGAGAATCCCAAAGAGGGTCTTAATGTCACAATGCACCCTGCCTTCTGCCATTCCCAGATCACGGGCAAGGTGTGCCCAGCATTCTCTAGAAGGTTTCTTGGCTCTAACTGGGAACCCTCCATGTGGGATTGCCCCACAGTGCATTGCATTTTACCACTGCACCACTGTTGGGCTCTGATTTTGGATTAAAAATAAACAAAACAAAATACTGTATATTACTCTAGAAACCATTTGTTCAATCAACAAACATT